TTTTTCCTTTGCATCCTCAATTGTGTTCTGGTATAGATCTAACTTATTTATGCAGTCTTTGATATTGTTATTGATTTTTGCATGCAGTCATTAGGAGCTCTTCCCATTATGCCTATGCAAGCTATGACTCAGCAGGTTAGCTGAGTAGATCCTTTTCTACCAGCAAATCTTCTGTATTTGTCTTTTGAATCTTTGTTTAAAATAGTTTATTTTTTGATCTTTCACAGGCTACTCGGCATGCTCGGCGAGTATATGTTGGCGGACTTCCTCCTTCAGCCAATGAACAGGTATTCTGGAGACCTATTGTTGATTTACTTTTATCTGTTTAAAGTAGTTTTTTTAGAGTGATGTTCACTCTACTCCTCATGAAAGTCTTCACTTCACATTTTAAAAACGAGGGAATTAATAGCTGCTAGATTGCAATTCTATTCCTGTGAAGTTAACCTTGACTACCCCCCGAGAGAGAGCTGTTAATATATACTTTCTTCTGTTTTTTTTTTTTTTTTTTTTTTTTTTTTTTTTGGGTTAATTCATCATCTTATTTTGGGTTTTCTATAGGTCCTCCTTTTTGCCTTTCTCTATCAGCATAATGATTTGCTTATTTCAGTGCTTTACTGTGTGTTCTGGATTTTTGACTATTCCCTTTTTGCTGCCTGCTGCTATCCCTATCACTGCAATGACTTTAATATATTTTTTTACTGCAGTCAGTGGCAACCTTTTTTAGCCATGTTATGGCTGCGATTGGAGGAAATACTGCCGGACCAGGTCTGTCTAGAAATTGTAACTTCATTGGGAAGAAAACAATCTTATGTGAACTGATTCCAAATTTATTTTTTTTGCTGTGCTTAGGTGATGCTGTTGTCAACGTTTATATTAATCATGAAAAGAAGTTTGCTTTTGTTGAGATGAGATCTGTGGAGGAAGCTAGTAATGCTATGGCATTGGATGGTATCATATTTGAGGTATTTTGCATTTCTCTTGTGTAGATGACATTTTAGTTACCCTTCTTTTACTTGGGATTACTGAGTAATTTATGTATATCATCTGCTTCCATGTAATAAAACCGAATTGTTATAAGCTAATACTCCCTGAATCTTAAATTTATAGTCCCAGTCCCATAAGCTGTGACTAAATATGATTTGCTGTTTACTTGTTTAGGGTACACCAGTTAAGGTGAGAAGACCTAGTGACTACAACCCAAGTCTTGCTGCAACCCTTGGTCCTAGTCAACCCAATCCAAATCTGAACTTGGCTGCTGTTGGACTGACACCTGGGTCAGCTGGTGGACTCGAGGGCCCAGATCGCATTTTTGTTGGTGGGCTACCTTACTACTTAACTGAATCACAGATTCGGGAGCTATTAGAATCTTTTGGACCCCTTCGTGGTTTTGACCTTGTGAAGGACAGAGAAACTGGGAACTCAAAGGGTTATGCCTTTTGTGTTTACAATGATCCCTCGGTCACTGATGTAGCTTGTGCAGCTTTGAATGGAATTAAAATGGGTGATAAAACACTCACAGTTAGACGTGCTAATCAGGGAGCAGTCCAACCAAAGCCTGAGCAAGAGATTGTATTGCAGCATGCTCAACAGCAGATTCTGTTGCAGGTGATTTTTTATTTTTTTATTTTATATGTTCATTTCTTCCACTTGCTTTAACTAGTGTGTATCATTGATCCTGGATTTGATTTACGCTTTATCTTGAATTGCAGAAGCTCATGTTTCAACCTGGAGCACTTCCCACCAAAGTTGTGTGCTTGACCGAAGTAGTTACTGCTGATGATCTTAAAGATGATGATGAGTATCAAGATATAATGGTAGACATGAAAGAGGAAGGTGAAAAGTTTGGTATGTATCTGCAGTCTCTTTTTTTCGGGCTGGACCCTTTTGTCTATTAGTATTTCTTTTATTTATCCTCTGTTTTACGTTTATTCACTATTGTCAGTCTGTCACTCCCTTGTAGTCATGCTGTAAAATAGCAGCCATAAGTTGAGACAAAACTTCTTTCTAAACTTTCACTTGTTATCTGTTTCCGTTTTCCTTCAGGCATCATATCATTTGATTTGTTGGCCTTTTCTACTATTTTATTTTATTGATGCAATTCCTTGCTGTCTGTAGGTTCTTTAGTGAGGGTTGACATCCCACGACCAGGACCAAATGGAGAACTTGCACCTGGAGTTGGAAAGGTTCTTAACAAATCCGCTTCCCTTCAAATAAAAGTCTTGAGTCGGTTTATAATTCTAATCGTCTTTTCTCAATGTATGTATTAGGTGTTTCTGGAATATGCTGACACAGAAAGTTCCTCTAGAGCACGAGCAGGAATGAACGGAAGGAAATTTGGCGGAAGCCAAGTGGTTGCAGTGTTTTATCCTGAAAATAAATTTGCAGAGGGTGTCTATGATGGGTAGAACTTATTTGCATTCCTACACCCTGTACTATTATTAGCGCCATTTTACTGATTTTAGTTACAATTGTAGGCAACTTATATCCTTGGATTTCTTTGCATTTGTCCTATGTAAAATTTTACCAAAATGTTGATATCTGTATGTTAAATATTTCTGTTGCTAATAATACAATTAACTACTGTGCTTGACTTTTGCAAACCTTGTCAAGTCGTTATAATCATATAGGCCAAGGGGTAATTTGTTGGCATAAGCTGAATCATTAAATTGCTTAGTAGAAACAACCTGTGCATATTTTTAAGAAGACAGGTTGCTAAAGATGTGGATTCTGAAGCCTTTGCGCCACAAAACCATGATTATCCACGATATCATGTGCTTAAAGATACTAAGGGTGAGTTTATCCTCAGACCTAGACTTCAAACTCTGCCACATCAGCTTTCTACTAACTATTAAATGTTTTTTTCATTATTCGGATTCATACAAGAGTTTCTTCAAATTCACACATTATCCCAATACTCACTCCAGACTCACTTATTTTCTCAAAAATATATTTATTTATTTTTTAAATATCTTTAATTCATTTAAGATAATATCGTAAAATTTTTTATGGACGAGATAATTCACAACGATAATTAGGTGAGGTGGACGATAATACATAACATTAATTACGATAAAACTTTTTATGGACGAGATAATACACAACGATAATTATCTTTAATTCATTTAAGTTAATATCTTTAATTTTTAGCCGTTGCAATATAACAGTTGGAAGTAGTTCAAATTACATGCAAGTAGCCGTTGGGAATCTTGGAATTGAATTGCCATAAACTTTGTTAGGTGAGGTGGCAAGTATTGATTGGCTCATGAGCAATTATTGCAGCACTTTGTCTCCCATGCAAAGTCTAGAGATGAGTTTCTGTTTTTCAAACTCACTCCAAGACTCACATGAGTCTTTTATTACATTAACGCATGAGTCTGGAATGAGACTCATCTCCACACTCTACTCTAAACCCCCAATAAACTAACCCTAATGCTTGACATTGCCTAAGATATAATTTACAAATAATATTATCGAGTCCCAAATAGTTGTGTTGTTTTCAATTATTTATCACCAAAAAATTGCCAAGTTGAATCATATAAATCTTTGGGCTTTGTTAATTCTTGGTGTTACCTTATACAAGTATGACGTTTTGAATTTGATATTGACTACTTCATTAAATGGTCAGGGTTGATATGGAACTATGTATATATGTATTCAAGAGAATGCTACATTTATACATTGAATATAGATGTCAAATTTTGCTCACTGAAAATCGAGATAGGGTCATCATCAAATCATTAATCAATTTCCTTAAAATCTTTGATTAGTTTTCTATCTTCTATAATATGGACTTCGGATTTGGACATAAAAATGGAATGAGTTGTTGTAACATTTTTTAAACAAAATTGGTTATTACAATAGTTTTTCTCTCACAATTTTTGTGGCTAGAATCGTGATAGAATTACATTACTTGCCCTAGCAAACAAGAGTTCCTTTCCTCATCCAAGAAAATGTTCTTTTTCCCCTCGTATTTTCAAGTAGGAACATCCCATTTCTTTGCTTGAACAACAGAATATATCATTTTATATGCTTACACATCAAGCCACATCTAAACATTATTATACACAAAATTAATATTACAAGCCATGTAATATGAAGTTTGACCTACCTGTTTGGGAAGGTCACGATTTTTTTATGATTCTTTTCAATGAATTGCACATAACATCCCACCCATATGTTCCCAATTATAATTTCATTCCTATATTATATGATGTAAACACTCTAACTAACAAATTAACGGTTGTGATATGCTTGAAACACAACATAATATGTCCTTTGAAATATATGTACTATGCCCACAACTTGAGATTTGTGAGCCACATGAAAATCAACTCGAATTTAAAACAAAATCAATTAACTTGAAAATTTAGGCATAATACGACATTATTACTTCATTAGGGTGAAGGTTTTGATAACTAATACTGCATTTTTAGTATTAAATATGTTTCTTATTATGCATCTTTCTAAATAGTGGAAACCTTCACATTTTATGTGTTATTGTTTGGATACAATAGTAATAAAGCAGCTTCCCAAATATCAAACCTAAACTCTCGATTGATAGTTGGAAGATGAAGCTAGTATTTGATTCAAAAAACTTATGTGTTGAACAAAACTCCTCATTTTAGCTCCAAGAAGTAAGTTGAATTAAAGGGCATTACAATTGCTTAAAGTCGGTTATATGTTAGCTTATCCAATGATAAAATGAATACAAAAACCTGAACTAAAAGAAATGAACCTTATTGACCAATCAAAGACTTTCCATAAATCGTATTTAGCTATTCGAGTAAACGAACCAACTATTGGACTATTTGAGATAAACTCAATTAGGTTTGATAAAGTACAACAAATATTAAACATGACTACAAAGTAAATAGGACATTGAATATTATTATATCATCATAAACAACCGTCAACTCATAACTAGAACTCGACCCGACCAATCCGTGTACAGGTTTCTTTCCAAAGCACCCTAGATTATATTCTACTCCATATTATTATTCACAAATATTCCCCTTTGGTAAATGGCGGTGAAAGTACAATTAGAACCCTAACAAGGAAGAACATTTCAGCTCCCTTCAAGTCATTCCATTTTCTGAACTTCCATATAAAAACGTTTCGTTTTCTGTCTTTCTTTCTCTCTCTTTCACAATTTGTACCTGCGATCAAAAATTTGAACAATTAAAGAGCCATTCATTTCAACGTATAATTTATTTTGATTGAACCCTTTAACTTTTTTGTCTTTTAATTTTTTTTTCTGGCAAAATCCTCCGATTTTTCAGGTAACTTCGTCTTGTTTAATTCATATTATTGTTAATTCAAGATTTAATTGGTTTGTTAATATCATCTTTGTTATTTTACGTGCTTCAATTTTTCTTGCATTAATACAATGAATTTGATGGGTTTTTTTCGATCTTTAGCATTGTATCTCTAATGGCGGCTTAAGAATGTTCGTTGTTTGAGCTGATTTTTGATTATTTTTTGCTATTTTAGGGTTTTATTATTGATGAATTTTGTATTTTACAAAGATTATTGATTGGGTTTATCTTTCTGATGTTGGGTATAATTGGTATGCCTTAGGAAAGTCTATATTCATTTTGCTGGACCTAGATAAATAGTTGTAGCTGAGTTTGGTATATAGTTTTGGAGCCATTGACTCGGCTTATTGTTTCTTATATAGTTTCTATGTCGGGTTTTCAAAGTAGGAGCGAAAGCTGGGTATATTGACCATTGGCAAAAGAGTTCTATTTTTAATTTCTGTTTTTTCTTTTAGATTTATCATAGTAGTCTTATTGTGTTCTTTGGTTGTTTCTTAGATGACAACTGATCAACATGACGCCTCAATTGCTATTGAGGGCATGACAAGTGTGAGTGGTGATTCTTTATCAAGTGAGGGTGTTAGTGCAGAAGTTAGCTCTAATCGTGATGCAAAAAACGATAGTAATCTGGTTATAGATAAAATACCAAACGAGAAACATATTTATAGACAAGATGTTGTGAGGTGTAGGGATGGGAGTATGATTGGTGTTGTGACTGAAGTTGCTGGTGATTCAGACTCAGACTCGGATAGTGATATTACTGATGATTCAGATCAGTCGGATGAAGATGATAAGGGAGAAGAGGAAGGTGAGGAGGAAGGGGATGGGGTACGCAGGGAGGTAAAGGAGGAGGAAGGGGATGGGGTATGTGAGGAGGTAAAGGAGGAGGATAATGTTGAGAATGATGGAGATGATGGGGATGGTAATGAGAGCAGTGATGATAACAGAAGTTCTGGCCATGACAAAAGAGAGCAACTTACTGGAGACCAGGTCCGTGTGTTGTGGATGGATGACTCGGAGAACACAAATCATCGAAACGAATTGACAGTTGTAGATAGGGGTTTCTTACATGGTGATTATGTAGCCTCTGCCTTGGACCCCACTGGGCAAGTAGGCCTTGTGGTGGATGTAAATATAACTGTTGATTTTCTATCCCATGATGGAACTGTTTTCAATGATGTATCTTCCAGGGATTTGATGCGTGTGAGGGATATTGTTGTTAGTGACTATGTAGTTTCTGGTCCATGGCTGGGTAGAGTTGATGATGTTCTTGATAATGTGACTGTTTTATTTAATGATGGTTCTATTTGTAAAGTCACGGGAGCTGAGCCTCTGCGGCTAAGACCAATTGCAAAGAACTTGCTTGAAGATGGGCACTGTCCATATCATCCTGGTCAGCGTGTTAGGGCAAGCTCCTCCTCGGTTTTCAAGAATGCTCGATGGTTATCCGGTTCATGGAAAGCTAACCGGCTTGAGGGTACTGTCATTAAGGTCACAGTTGGGTCGGTATATGTTCATTGGATAGCTTCAGCTGGCTATGGTCCTGATTCTTCCACTTCTCCAGCAGAAGAGCAGAATCCTAAAAACCTAAAAGTGTTATCTTGTTTTACTCATGCTAATTGGCAGCTGGGTGACTGGTGTTTTCTTCCAGCCCTTACATCTTCTTCCTCTATACCTTTGGATAAAAATTTGTCTAAGTTGCGACTTCATGAATCTGAATCTGGTCATCCAGAGTCTGATGCAGATGAAGTCATACCAGAGGATTTGAATGTACATATTGAATCGATGGATCATGATGAGGCAGGCTTATCAGAGAATATTGATGAAAATACTCAAAACAACTTGTCTCCAAAATCAAGTTCTAGGGACACGGCCCATGAAAGTTGGCAAATTCATCGAAAGAAACTTCGTAAAGTTGTGGTTAAGAGGGATAAGAAGGTCCGGAAAAAGGAAGAGACTTATGAAAGAGCTCTTTTGATTGTTAATACTAAGACAAGAGTAGATGTTGCGTGGCAAGATGGAACTGTACAGCGGGGATTAGACTCCACATTGTTGATTCCAATTGAAAGCCCAGGTGATCACGACTTTATTGCTGAACAATATGTGGTGGAGAAAGCTGCTGATGATGGTGAAGAGACCTCTGAAATAAGACGTGTGGGGGTTGTCAAAAGTGTTGATGCTAAGGAGAAGACAGCTTGTGTGAAATGGTTAAAACAGGTTACCCGACCAGAAGAACCCCGGGAATTTGAAAATGAGGAAGTTGTCAGTGTTTATGTACTCGAAGGGCATCCTGATTATGATTATTGTTATGGAGATGTAGTTGTTCGCTTGTCCCCAGCTTTCATGGCAACGGAGGCGGAATGTCCTGACCCTAGAGAGTCCGCTACACTTGCTAACGCTAAAGAAGGGGATGCATCTGATGAGGCAGCTTGTAATGAACTCTCAAATCTATCATGGGTTGGGAATATTACCGGCCTAAAAAATGGTGATATTGAAGTAACATGGGCTGATGGAATGATTTCTACGGTACTTTACCACCACACTGAACACTGATCATATGTTTATTTTTAATGTTAGAAAGTTATTTTGTGTGCAAATATTCTATCAAATTGCTTCCCCGATCCTTGATTAATATTTTCTTTTAGCTTGGTTTCAGGTTGGCCCTCAAGCAGTGTATGTTGTTGGTCGAGATGATGATGAATCTATTGGTGCTGGGAGTGAGATTAGTGATGATGCTGCTAGCTGGGAAACAGTTGAGGATGATGAAAAAGATGCTCTTGATAATTCAGAAAAGGTTCTACTTTCCTTTTCAATTGCAATGTCTAGTTTATACCATATGTGCCTACAATCCGTCTTGTGTGTGGCTGGCCACACCGTGTGGCCGGTTGTAAAAGAACAAAGTAACCCAACACTAACTGAGTAACCCTGTAATACTGACCAAATAACCTCTATAACACTGACAAAGTAACACCTGTAACACTAACCAAGTAACCCCTATAACACTTATGAAGTAACCCCCATTATAGCTGGCCACAAGGTGTGGCCAGCCACATATAAAAATTTGTGATATGCCAATTGTGTGTATTTGATTAATTCCCTATGTTTCTTATTTTATGGGGAAAATGATAATGAATTTATAAATGGGATATTGGTAGATTCTAGATGCATATTATGATGCAATATCACCTTGTGAATTTTCTTGCATTACAATATAGGATAGCAATTATTTAGAGTATAATAATAAGAAAAAAAAAAAAAAAAAACGTAACAGCATGTCATTATGTAAGTTAATAGTCCTATGATATTTTAAGTGGGTTCATATACTGAAATAAGCAAATGTGAGTATTTGACTTACATGGTCCGTATTTTGGGCTTTTTTTTTTCAATTTCCATATCTATTCCACTGCTCTATTTATGGTTGCTCCATCCGGTACATGGTTGTTACTGCAGTTTTCCTGATTTTTAGAAAGATATGAAGTAAAAAGAACTGTTACTACATGTGCCAAAAGATTAGGAGTGAAAGATGGAGATGGAAAGTGGACAGGGGAAGAGACAAGTAGGAAGGTAGACAAGAGACAAGCTAGGTTAGTGGGGGAATTTACTTTACACCATTCTTTTAGAAAGGAAATCAGAAGGGAGATAATAAAAGGACTCTGCACATAGCTATATGTCACATGAATATTGATTGGATTAGAGTGCTTGTACAGTTGCATTACTTGCATACCCCTCCAGTGGAAAATGACAGTGGTGTATACTATTTTTTTTTTTTTTGAAAGAGCTGTGTATACTACTTGGGATTGTTTGGATAAGTTGTCAGCTTTTCTACGAATATTTGTTGTCATTGTAATTGAATTTCCCAACCTATACTCACCTAAATTTGGTGTTGGAAAGAACATGGAAATGCAATTGTTACAATTGGTGTTTTGCTTAAATCATGTTGAACTATTTGAATAAGAGGTGTCAGGACAGTGTGACATTGATTTTCGAATGGAGTAACAAACTAACAAACTTCTTTAAATGACAATTGCTGCAATGTTAGGGGGACGGAGAAGTATATGTTTTATAAAATAATTAGCTCTTTTTATATTATATTATCTGCTTTGGCTGTATCCTATATGTCCGTTTTGTGCTATATCACTTCAGTTGTTCTCAATTGAAGATAGTTGATGCAGTGTTTTGCAAATTTTGTTGCATCCGTAATATAGCTAATTAATGTCGGCATATGTTGTTTTAGGAACCAACACCAGAAGGCAATCCTGATGCAGGACATGACATTGTAGTTGCTGAGCAAAGTTCAGGCAACGGACCATTGACTTTTCCTCTTGCAGCTATTGAATATGTTACCCGATTTGCATCTAATATGTTCTCTAGAGGGCGAAGCGATGGGGATTCATCTGGCCCAGACGATTCTGTGGAAACCAGCGTTCAACCAGAGGAAACAAAATGTATGTCCGGTGAAAGAGCATCTAGCAACGTGTCTAACACTCAAGATCCTTGTGTTATTGACAGTGGTAGTGGACAAACTAGCTCAAACAAAGGTGAAGAATCTGCTGAAGTTGAGTCTGCAAAATTAACAAATATGGATGAAGCCTTGGGAAATCTGACGCCCAATGAACCTTATGCTAATGAACCTTATGCTGTGCTATGTACTGATGGTAGTGCCTGCAGCTTTAAGCGCTTTGATACTGCCAAAGATCCATTGGATCATTTTTTCCTTGGTACCAATATACAGGTAAACTTATGCTTCACTTGTTCTATAAAGATATGATGTACCGTATTATATATTAGAGTTCAATAGTCTTACAGATTTACTTTCAGCTCTTGAAGAACTTGTCTGGTGTGGATATAATATTGTCTTAGTTTTTAAAGAAATGAATTCTCATTTATGATGCCCTGGGGGGTGAGAGGGGAAAGGAGGGGGGGGGGGTGTTGGCTGTGTGGTGCTGGGATCTAGGGTAGGGATAAAAAGTAATTGAAATTATTAGGCTTGGCTAAAAATTATTTAAACCATTCCGTTTGTCATATTTCTGGCATTTTATTATTGTTATCTTTATAGAATACTTATGGCATATTTACCTTCCTCACATTTATAAAAAAAATAAATAAATTTTTATGTTATATTACATGATTTTGCAACTAAAGTATCTTCATTGACATCGATAGCAGGGCAACAGTGGAAGAAAGTGGCTCAAGATGGTGCAGCGAGATTGGAACATTCTTCAGAACAACCTCCCAGGTATTTGGTCTGCACATCTACCATTAATTAGCTCTCTCAGTAAAATGGCTTACCTTGTTTCCCTTTGTAGAGGGTATATATGTACGAGTATACGAGGATCGAATGGATCTACTGAGAGCAGTAATTGTGGGGGCTTATGGAACACCCTATCAAGATGGTCTATTCTTTTTTGATTTTCACCTTCCTCCAGAGTATCCTGATGTTCCACCGGTGGGTATATTGCATTTCTGTGGCATATTTTATAACTCATATAACTTTTCAAGTTACTTTCTTAATGTAGTGGGGAATGTCAATGTTCTGGTGTAAAAAAAAGACGACTTTTCTTTTGCAGTCAGCTCATTATCATTCTGGTGGCTGGCGCTTAAACCCTAATCTATACGAAGAAGGCAAGGTATGCCTTAGTCTGCTGAATACCTGGACAGGAAGAGGAAATGAAGTCTGGGATCCCCAATCCTCAAGCATTCTTCAAGTTTTGGTTTCCCTTCAAGGCTTAGTTTTGAACTCAAAGCCATATTTTAATGAAGCTGGATATGATAAGCAAGTTGGGACAGCTGAAGGGGAGAAAAACTCATTGTCCTACAATGAAAATACCTTTTTGCTTAATTGCAAGACAATAATGTATCTTATACGGAAACCTCCAAAGGTAACATAATAACATCTTTATTTTGTTAAAGTACTACTATAGACCTATAGTATTTAACGTCTGTTATCAATCGCCATTTTTAATACTTAAATATTCAATAGGGTCAAGCATTTTTGCTTGTAATATATTTTTGCTTCATCTTTAGTGGTTAACATCTTGCTTATACTGATATAGATGTGCGTTGAGCCATTGAGGTATATTCTGAATTAGGAGTGAAGCCCTTTTCAATTTACCTTATAAATTAACATTTGTTAAAAAAAATTAGCATTGATTATTTAAATTTAGTTTTAAGTAAAAATCAGTTTGGCTCCTTTGATTTGTGTGTGTGTGTGTGTGTGTGTGTTAGTGTGTGAGTATATCTCTATTTCTCGATCTATGAAGTAATTTGTATCAGCCTATTCTGTATAAGTTATCGGCAGAGGTGATGTGGATTCCTCAAGACTTGAAGATTATGTAATTATAAAAAGAAGAAATCAGAGGCCTTTAGAAATTGGTTATTTTGTATTTTAATTTGTGCTTTTCTAAGCAAGAATTCTAGAGTATGATGAAAACCTAGATTAAAGTTACAAGGAGGAATGTCAATAGGTTAGGGTCCTTTTTTCCAAAAATAGCATTGGTGCCCAACTCCAAGCTATATATTAACTAAGTGTAATGTTAAAGCTTTAATCTGAACTTCTAAGTGTATGCTGTAGTCCTTTATTATGTGTGTATGTGTATGTGTATGTGTGCGTGTGTTTTTTTAAATTGGAACAATTCTTGCTGTTTGGCTTAACTAATATTTACTGTATACCTTCTGTTAAATATCTAGGATTTTGAAGATCTTGTGAAAGAACATTTTGGGCAGCGTGGGTACTATATCTTGAAAGCCTGTGATGCATACATGAAAGGTTACTTGATCGGTTCTCTAGCAAAGGATGCTACGTTGACGGAAAAAAGTGAAGCTAATGCCACATCCGTTGGCTTCAAGCTGATGCTGGCTAAGATTGTGCCCAAACTTATCTCAACTTTTAATAACATAGGAGCTGATTGTCACGAGTTCGAACACCTGCTTCAGTCTTAGTTGCATTTGCAAAGTCTATACTGTCAATTGTTCAATCCTGCTAACAGGTTAGAGTCCTTTTCTCTAAAGATAGCATTGTTACAGTGGTGCTGCTTGTAAGATACCTTGAGGTGTTGCACTATTTGATGCTATTCTAACCAAATTATCTTACATGCTGCTTCTTGGGGTATCAGCTCGAGTTTTTGGGAGCAATTCTATGGGTCAACTTGTGTGAGTCAAGCGATAATCACTGCTAACTCACCAAAATGTGCAGGATTGAATTTTCAAGGGCTCTGGCTAACTTTTGCTTAATGACATTCCTTGATTCTTTTGTATTGGAGAGACAAGGAGATAAGTAGTCTCTTTGCTCTTTGGTTAGAATTCAGAAATGCCTTACACTTCTCATCGAATGGAGAAAGCATTTTAGTCCCCGTTTTTTTTTTTCCTTTTTTTTTTTGGAGGGGAGAAGGGGTATCATACCATTTTTTACATTCATGAACTTGGGTAAGCAGTTTACTGAAGAAGTGTTCTTTCTGTATTGAACTATGATGGTTTACTGGTGTTGATATTCAGGTAGACCAAAAATAGTGACAAGATGGCAAGAAAGCCAAAAAAAACATTAAGAAAGAAAGTCTACCCATGCAAATTTTATGCGGGTTCTTTTACAGATTTATTATTCTCAGAATTGTAATGTCAGCTCATTTTATCGAAATTGATTGAAGAAATAAACTACAAGTAGTACTTTAATTTTGTGCCTTGTGTTAGTTCTATTCACTTCCAATTTTTAGGACGATCTTGAAACAGATTAAGCTTATTAACAGTTTACAAACTTGTTTTTTTTTTTAAAAAAAAAACTGTATACAACCGTGTTTGCAATCGGTAGTTTATAATTGCCTCAATCCCAAGTAGATGCCATCAGGTTCAGGTCTGTGCTGCTTGCTAATTTCTGAGGCACCGTTGCAAGGAAGAAACTAAGAAAATGCTTTAGAAGTAAGCGAGAAGCCAAAAAATTGTCAGTAAAAAGTACGACATAGAAGATAGAAATTGAAACAATTGATTTTTGATTGGGAGATACAGGAGATTCTATAACTCGCTCCGTTTTATAATAATTGACATAATCTAATCCTAATTTTAAATAATTGAATATTAGTAAGAATTATTTATTTATTTTTTTTTAAAAGTTGATATTATGAAAAAAAATAAAAAAAAATAAAAATCAATGTCAATTATTATGGAACGGAGGAAGTATAGATTATTATAATTTTCATAATTGAAGGCTAATTAACCCATCTTTAATGGTTAATAATAAGTCTACTTTAAAAGTTGAATTTTTTAAAAAAAATTACCAAGAACCGTAATGCTAAATTTACTACAGCCATCTGGTATCAACAAGTTCACTGCATTCATCGGATACTCTGGTATGATAAATTACGAGGCCATCAAAAAAAGATAATGGTAAGTTGCATCAGTCAATGAGTTTAGGTCCCCTGAAATGTTAAGGAGAGGTCTGAGAAGATCACACTATTCACATTGGAATGCAGTAACTTCCATGAACCCCAATATCACTGAATTAACATGAAGCATCTAGTGGTGCGTGCATATCAAAAGTAGGTTTCAACAGTAGAATGAACTCTGTTGGACAAAAAATTTTACACAGAAATAGAGCCCTTATTACATATCAATGAAAGCAGTATTAGGCTAAATTCGAAAGCAACACTATATGGCATAAAGACCATGTATCTATGATTTGTGTGTCATCAGCCATTTGTGGTAGTCGGTGATCCACCAAAGCCAAAGAAATCAAAAGCCAGGAAAAAAATAATTTTAGGATAATTAGAAAAGCACCATTCATGAATGATCTCAGACACAATTGCAAAAGACCAATCGAGCATAACTTAGATGAGAAATGTCATCTGCCCTTTTGAAGCAGGGTTTATTAGGCCAAAGAGCAAAGTACCAAATCATTCTGAAAAGATAGTCACACATTCAACTCTATGTACTATTTTCTCCAAAACCGATGTTCTACTCCACCAAGGTACATTAAAAGAACAGATATAGCAGTAATAGCCCAGGAATAAATGACTCCCCTTCCTCCCATTTAGCAAATTTTTGAGCACTTACCCTTCCCAATAGTCTACAACAAGACCAAAAATCAAAGTTGAACAACAATACTAATGTCATATATGGAGCATAAAGAAACTCTAGAAAAAGAAACTATTTTCTACATCCCCACCCCCAACATACCAATATAATTCAACTACAATCGAATTTTCCTCAAAGATCTTCTTCATCAACATTTCCCCTGTTCCTCCCACCCTATCCATAATAAGGGAGATCAAATATATGTGACCTTACCTCCACAACAGGACTAATTCCATTCCAATCCAAACAGATCCTTGATAACAACCACCATCTACTACTATACAATAGATAAACTTTCAAGACAATTTCATGTTCCAAAAATCATTAGTAATACTACACTTAGACTGCTTTTCTAAATCTCCTCGATTCAACTAAAATCAATTTCTCCTCAAGGATCTTCTTCACCATGAAATCAATGCCCCAAATTCATGTTCCACGGTAAATAAACATCAACATTGTTCCAATGCCTCCCACCCTAATTGTAACAACGGAGATCAAATGTACGCAACCTTGCCTCCACAACAAGACTAATTCCAATCATACCCTTGATTTGATCACAATGACTGTCTACTACTATACAATATACGATATAAAAATTAAAGACAATTCCATGTTTCACAACATAAATCATCAATGCACAAATCAATAGAAATACTACACTAAGGTTGAAGCAATGACAAAAAATAAAAATCATTTTTTTATTGATCAAATTAACTTGGAGGGCATGTAGCAGAAGTAACAAATAACCAACCGCAATCACAGCAATCCAAAATCAAAAGAAGAGATCATGATCAAATTCCTCCCAAGAACTAAAATCTGTGTAATCAGCAAAAAAAGTAAGTAAAATAGTACGAGATATAAGATCATACACTTCTAATAAGATTCCGACGAGCCAAAAACCTAGCAATAGGAGGAGTAAGAGCAATTGTAATCGGAACCCTAATTGGAAACAAAGCTTTGTTACAGAGCAAAGCAAGAGCAAAAGCGCCGCCACTAGACGCCGCGAGCTCAGCCGTACGATTCCTCGTCTTCTCCGGCGGCGGAGACGGCGATGCAGAGGGAATGTCGGCGATCAATTCGGGGTCGTTTTCTGGGATTTGCGGTTGTTCGTTGGTGTTGACGCCGCCCATGCCGACTTTATGGAGGAGAGCTTCGACGTCAACGTTGTTTTTGATGGCGACGTAAAGGCCGGAAATGGAGGCAGCTGAGACGGAGAAGTGGACTCCTAAGCCGACTTTGCCGTATTTCTTCAGGATTTGGCGGAATCTACCAGTGGACGCCATCGTTGAAGCTTGAAGGAGGAGAGAGAATGGGAAGGGTTTTTCTAGGGTTTTTGATTTGGGGGAAGAGTTGAAGAAGATTCTAAGATGATTTGTTGCGCAAGATTGACTGAAAAGGAAGGTGGTTGAGAAAGAGGTTTCGGGCATGTGTGTCTAGAAGGATTTGGACATTTTAGAGTACTACGACGTCGACGAGTAATGTTATAAGGCAAAAGCTAATAAGCGTCTTTGGTGAAATTATTATAATAAAATAAATTTAATTACACTGATTGATTCGTAATTTTGACATACATTTCAAATTTAATACTATACTCTGTAGTATTTTAGGTGATATATTAATTAATTATCAAACACCCCATAAGACACTCATTAGCAAGATCCTTTTTTGTATTTTCCCCATAATTACATACCAAGTATATATTTGTATTTGAGCTTCCCAAAAAAACTAGATACTACAATTAGAAAAAATTTGTCTAAATAATTCTCGATAACACCCACCAACACAACCTTTGACTAATAGTCTAATAGCCAATACACCATGAACTAGGGTGAATAATGATGCAAAATGACATTGATGATCCCTTCTCTTGAGGAATCTATAGTTGCTAATCTTCAAATTAAGTTTATTGTTCAACTAGTTCTATAAGAACTTTTTCCTTCATCTTGTTTATTGAATGACCAATTCTCCCCTCATTTAATTACATAATACGACTAAGGCATGATTATTACTGTTTTTTAATGAAACATCTTCAATACTAAGACTTTATTGGATAACAAAAACTTGCAGTGTGACATAACTAATAATCTTTCAAGCAATCAACTTATATTCTTTTAAGAATTCAATTTTTCATGTAGCGGACTTTATTTATGGAATTAAAGTTTTGATTGATTAATTGAATTCTTCACATTTCTAACTTTCAAGGGTTAACCTACCCTCTTTTCCTTTCCTTTTTTGTTTATTGACTTGAAACGTTATCATGACAGGAAGAGTATGCTCAAGGAGAAGAAATTGGAGAGTTGAATTGTGGTCATGAGTTCCATACCAGGTGTATCAAACAGTGGTTCATCATCAAAAAATACATGCCCGATATGTCAAATGAAGGGCTTGGGTGCATAACATGCTGCAGGAATGAAAATTATTGCTGTAAAGTAGTTTTATAAACATCTTTAGCAATTTGCTGCAGTTACTTTAGGTTAGAATTTTTTTTTTATTGGTTTTTGCTGTTGAAAGTGTATATAGACCCACAGTCATATACTTCCTCCGTTCTATTAATATTGCAACAAGGATGAAATTACGCATTCCAAAGCACATTTTATATGCTAAATATCTATAATTGTGTAAGAGTAAAAATTATAAAAAGTTGATATTGTGAAAGTATTTTATGAGACGAAACCAACAAGATCCCACATGACTATATTTTGCTTAACGTATAAATCATATTATATGGTCAAACAAGAGTGATGAATAGTGCAAAAAGTCCATTGTTGCAATATTAATAGAACGGAGGAAGTACGAAGTAACACATCTGCTACTTTTGCATTTGTGAAATATAGATCATTTTAACTCAATGTCTTCTTTCTTAATCTGTATCTGCCTGCTTTGTCCAAATGTAATGACCATGTTGAATTGCTGCTTGTGATTAAATTGCATTACAGTGCAAAAGCATCATTGCTTACTGGCTTGCTTATTATGATTTTGAATGTTATCTTACTATCAATGTGCAGTGGAAAGCAAGCTTTTTTTTTTTTTTTTTTTGTGAATGCAGCACTGCACCAATTATTAACTAATGACATTTGACATTTAGAATAATGCTGCGAGAATATGATGTTACTTTCTTGTCTTTTGCTGATAGTTTACTAATGAATTGTTATGGTACAAAAGGCTAAGAAAATTCCGCAATTGACAGCGGAATTGTTTGTTGAATACAAATAAGCAGTGTGAGGTCTATCATGCAAACTTGCTAGCATTTCTGAAAGATATGGAGGACCAGAAGTTGAAGCTTTCTATTGAAGTCCAGAATGCAAGACTATTTGAAAGAGTGAGTTGCCAAAACAACAAGCCAAGGATTTTCTTTAAGTTGGTTTTAGATATTAGTCATTAATTAAGGAGCAAAAAGGGAAAAAAAATGCTTATAAAACAAAATGAAATACTTCTAATTCAGTATTGATAGGTTGTGAGGTGCATTCGTATCATGGACAACGCAACGTGATAGACAAAAAACGAAATGCTCTTTCACAATCAAAATGGCTGCTTCGTCAAAAAATAATTTAATCATTCCTTGCATTTTTCTTGCAGCTAAAGGTTCAACAAGCCTTTACAGTGTGTTTGGATAAAGAAAGGGGAGGGAAACGAAGGGGAGGGAGGAGAAGAGGAGGGGAGGGAAGAATGGTGAGTTTTCCTTCCAAATCTCTCAATTGT